TCTCGTCCGAAAGTATTGAGATCACAAATGCTCTCTTCTGCAAGAGTTTGCGCCCAGAGGTGAGCTCCACAGGAGAGGTGGCAGGTAAGGGCACGGTGCCCCTGTCTCGCAGAGCTATGGAAGAGTTTTTGACCTTGGCTCGTCCTGGACCTTTGGGGGCCTCCTACGATGCTGCTTCCCCTACGGTGTCAATTTTTGCATGGGATGCATTCGTGCTGAGAGGAGTTTTTGTGAAAGCCAAGGTGAGTGAGAGCCCATCCAGAACTCTCTGGCGGACTTTTAATGAAGATGGCAGGAACCCATGCCTCCGAAGCCCCATCAGGGCTGTTCGCAGGGTTCATGACAAAAGCTATAAGAAGCTGGGTGGTGGTGAGTTTTGGGCTACCGTCCTATCTGAGGTAAGCAGGTCGATTGGATCTTATTTTGGGTCCAAGAAGGTCAGTGGAGGTGCTGGCGTGATGACCCTAGCGCTGTGCGGGCTGGGAGTGGGCTGTGGGCCCGTCTTTGACATCGGTTTTCCGATGGGGCTCTATGTCTGCTATCAAAGAGGCTTTGCATGGTTGATTTTTAGTTGCCACAAGGAGAGAGTACGATCCTTCTTCGATGCTCCTCCCTGTACTACCTTCGGTACGGCTGCTTATCCCTGGTTGGGAACCTACACACAACCACTTGATTTTGATCTTCGGCATCCTCGAGTAGTTTGCGGAAATGGTAATGTTCTCCCATTTCTGGGATGGCTGGTAGCAGGAAAAGGGGTATGGTTTCCAGGCAAGATGAAGACTCCTAGGAGATCAACGCTCCGGAGAATGCCTCAGTGGGAGTCTCTATGTCTCTTGGGAGCAAATGATATGCACCTTGATTCTTTTGCATATGGCCCAATCCACCAGAATGATTTTGTGCGGATCAGTGCCGTCATGTACGTCAAGGGGATCGAAAAGCATTGCCTAACAGACCACAGGCATGTCCGAATCAAAGGCAAATCCACCACAACAAGTGATGCCTTCCGACATGGGCCAACAGTTGTATGGGCTAAAGTCTTTGTAGCTCTTAGTCCGGCAGTTGAAGGGGCCCATGAAGCAAATCAGGGACCGGGAGGAGCTGAAGATGCACGCTCAGAGGAGTTCCTCCTGCTTTCCTTTTGGAAGGTCATTGCTGGTTGGGAGAGGACAGGCTCCGCATACATCGGCCTGCTAGAGATCAGGTGGGTCATTTCTCTTCTGAAGTGGAAGAAGTGGATTCCAGTTTGGACCATGCTAGGTCTGCAACTTTGTACTCCCTGCTCTGAGTCCCTTACAGGTCTCCACTTTGCGAGATGCTATGGGCCTCTCACTGCCCTTCCCCTTCCTGCCTCCAATGAATTTGCTTCGGCCCTTGGATTTTCGGGTGAGGGCTGGTTCAATCCCCTGTTTGATCTCATCTTTGAGCCGAGCCGATTAGGTGTAGCTGGGGCGATCGGCGCGAGCCATGGAGACGCGCTCAGATGCGAGCGACAACCTGAGATTGAACTGGATGAAGACGAAGAAATGACGCATCCTATCATATCACCTCGTGCGTCGCTGGGTGCAACTCTTCATTGCTGGCTGCGAGAGAGGGGCTGGAAGTATGATGCTCCCTCTCAAGCAAATCCCCTTGAGAGAGAAAGTGAGCTTAGTTTTGGCCAAGTATGGGCTCGCTCTTTCCTTGAGTAGTAAAACCTGCTACAGCCTGCTGGAGGCCATCAACCTGGTCAGCGTGCGGAAGATGATATTTCGAAGGTCCTCTCATCAGGAAATGGACCTATGCGCAATATTTTGTGCAGGTGTGCACAAACCCTGCAGTTTTGAGCCTCCTGATTCAGGCTATGTTGCTTGGAATGGAATTGGATGGCTCAGGCTGTATAGACAGATCTGGCCGAGTTCCCCATCGACCCTGAGGCACAGGCAGAAAAGGTTCATTCCCAGTCTGCGCCCACCGACTCGGACGGAGAACTCAAAGAAGTCGCTCACTCTCGCCCTTCTTCGACCAGGAGGAACTACGTTTCTGATAGCTTTTGTCGAGCTATCTGGACGGGTGGGAAGAAGAAAATGTGGGGTTCTGCTGAAAGTCATGGACATCTACCTCACCTCTGGAACACCCAATGCTGAATGTTCAGAAGAAGCCCATTGTAAGATCCTCACTGCTAATGCTAAGTTTCCGTTGGTCCGGAACGAGAGTGGCTACTCCTTGAAAGCGAGATCTAGAAAAAGGTGTGGAACTTTCTTTTCAAACATGCTGCTCGCGGCGTCGACACGACAGAAGGCAGTGGGCGAGATGGGTCAAGCAAGGCAAAATAGTGCCTTCCCACGGTCACACATCGAAGATACGCAGGCTGAAAAGAGCGCGAACATCCCT